TCATCAGAAAACTCTGTACTTGAATACCAGTAGCTGAAATTTTTTTTTTTTTGGCAGAAAACATGTCACATTATGCCTGTGGCTTTATCCAGGGATTACTTTAAAAAGAAGTAATATGACTGGTTGCGGTGGCTCACACCTGTAATCCCTGCACTTTGGGATCTGGGTCATCTGAGGTCAGGAGTTCAAGACCACCCTGGCCAACATGGTAAAACTCTCTAAAAATACAAAAAATTAGCCGGGCATGGTGGTGGGCACCTGTAATCCCAGCTACTCGGGAGGCCGAGGCAGGAGAATCACTTGAACCCAGAGGCAGAGCCTGCAGTAAGCTGATACCATGGCATTGCACTCCAGCTTGGGCAACAAGAGTGTGATTCCATCTTAAAAAAAAATAATAATACAACATTTCCTTTTGCTTTTGTTTTTGAGAATACTGCCTGGTATATCATTGTGTATTCCATTTATAAAGCCCAATATGAGAAATTTCCTTCAGAGTTTAAGGGCATAAAAATATTTGTTTTCTTTGAGACAGGACATATCTTTTAGATTATAAAAGAGGTATCATTTATTTTGTTTGTCTATTTGCCCTAGCTGCCTGTGAGCACAGGGCCAAATTTGAATGTTAATTGTAGGAATTATGTCAAATTTTGTAAACTAATTTAAAAATAGTTACATATCCTGGGAGTTAGCAAATTGTGGCCCACCCACTTCTTTTTGTAAATAATGTTTTATCAGAACACAGCTTTAGTTGTTGTATTTATGTATTGCTTATTGCTTTTGTGCTACAGTGGCAGACTTGAGTAGTTGCTCTCTGGCCCTTTACAGAAAAAAAGATTTCTAGTCCTGATATAAATAGTTACATGTGGGTCAGACCAAATGCAATAACACTGAATATAAAGTATGATTACTGTTAGATGTAGCTAGTTGGAAGAGGCTTAACAGAGATATGCTATGAAAGGAGTTTAATATTTAAGCAGTGGCGGCATATAAAAGACATTTTATGTGGGAGAGAAGAAATAAAATCCTGTAGGACTGTGCAGATTTTGAGCATATGGGACCATTTTGGAAACTGTTTTAGCAGATTAGAATTACAGCAGTGAAAATGAAGTTGTATGGGTAAGACTGTTGATAGGAAGGCATAAAAGCTAGGCATCAGAATTTGCATTTAATCTGACAGACAATTGCAAATCCACTATGGATTTTTCACAGGGGAGTGACGTGATGGGAACAGTATTTCAGTACAGTTAATCTAACAGCAGTGTACGAACTCAGCATATAGAGCCCCAAGACTAAGCAGCTACTGGGGTAAGCCTGGTTTGGGGAACTACGACGATGACTGTAGAACGAAGAGGAAGAGTAGCCTCTGAGGTGCTGGAAAGAAGGAAGCAGTTTTGTGGCTGACTGGATTTAGAGAGTGGTGGTGAAGGAAATTACGAGAGGAGAACTGGAGAAAAATGAACCAAAGTGACAGTTTTTTTGAGAGGAAACATGTGTTTTGTTTTTGATCCTAGTTTCTGGTGTTTTAGAGCCTACTAAGGAAAGTATAGAAACGTTTGGAGGACTGTCCTAGATGATGGCTGATAACTGTGGCAGACTTTGTATGGAGAGACAACAGCACAAGGCATAGTGGCTGGGGAGTGCCTCCAGGAAAGAAGATAGCCCTAGAGACGCAGAGTGGATGGAGGAACAGGAGTTAGTGAACCAGTGTTTCCCAATGTGTATCCCAGGACAGACTGATAGTATGCATGGTTAGCAGGTATTTCCATTGTTGCATGGCCAGATAGGTTTGATAAATTCTGGGTTAAGCAAAGTTAAAAAGACTTACTGTTTTAGATCCTCTCATGTTCTTTAATAATATGGACCATTATTTATATCTCCAATAAGCTGTTTCCCTCCAAGTTTAGATTCCTGTATTTGACTTTCTACGAGACATTTCCCCTTGGGCTATCTATGAGGCATCTAACATTTAACTGTCCAAAATGGAATATCTTGTCTTCCTCACAAAACTTGGTTCCCCATCTCAGTTGATGGCAGCTCTGTCTTTTCTTTTCAGTAAAAAAATGCCGTGGTAAGAAGTAATATAGAAGTTGTATTGTACCATGGGTAAAATGGCCAAAGGAATTGAGATGAAAAATGAAATTGCTCAGGCTGAGCATGGTGGCTCATGCCTGTAATCCCAGCACTTTGGGAGGCTGAGGTGGGTAGATCACTTGAGGTTAGGAATTTGAGATCAGCATGGCCTACATGGTGAAACCTGTCTCTACTAAAAATACAAAAATTAGCTGAGCATGGTGGTGGGTGCATATAATACTGGCTACTCAGGAGGCTGAGGCAGGAGAATCTCCTGAACCTGGGAGGTGGAGGTTGCAGTGAGCCAAGATTGCGTCACTGCACTCCAGCTTGGGCAACAGAGCGAGACTGTCACACACACACACACACACACACACACACACACACTGCTCAGATTAAATACCTTGGAGTCATCCTTGATTCCTTTGTCCTATACTCTTATTGTTATTTTTTGAGACAGTCTTACTCTGTCGCCCAGGCTGGAGTGCAGTGGCATAATCTTGGCTCGCTGCAAACTCTGCCTCCCAGGTTCAAGTGATTCTCTTGTGTCATCCTCCCGAGTAATTGGTATTGCAGTGCGCACCAGCATGCCTGGCTAATTTTTGTATTTTTAGCAGAGACGGGGTTTCGCCATGTTGGCAAGGCTGGTCTCAAACTCCTGACCTCAGGTGATCTGCCTGCCTCGGCCTCCCAAAGTGCTGGGATTATAGGCGTGAGCCACTGTACCTGGCCTATTCTCCTGTCCCCTTATCTGATCCATTAGCAGCCACATTGGCTTTTTTTTTTTTCAAATATATCCAGAATCTGAACCCTTCGTACTCAAGTGATTCTATTGAAATCTTACCCCCTATTTGTGCAGTAGCTTTCCATTTTACTCAGGATAAATATGTCACTCCCTCTAGTGGCCTACAAGGTATTTTATGACCCGGTTTCTCATTGATTCTCTGACCTGATTTACCATTCTTTTCCTTCTTCACTCTGCTCCATGCATATCTCTTTGTTCTTCCTAAGACAGGGCTTAAGCAATTTGTTAGCTTAGGGCTTTTCCTGTGCCTGTGACACTCTTTGCCTAGACAATCTGTTTGGTTAACCTAACTTCCTTTCCTCCTTTAAGCCTGTTCACATGCCACCCTCTCTAGAAGATTCTGACCCCGACCACCATATGTAAAATACAAAGTGCACTTTTCCCATTTCTCATCCCCTTTATTCTGCTTTACTTACTTTCTTTCTTTTTTTTAATAGCCCTTACCGTGTTCTCACATATTTTGTATATTATTTGTTTAAAAAAGTATCTGCTGTATTCTACTAGACTGTAAGCTCATGAATGCAGACATTTTTGCCTATTTTGTTCTCGGATATAACTCAAGCACCTAGAGAACTGTGCCGGACACACAATAGGCAACTAGCAAGTATTTGTTAAATGAGTGAATGAATCTTCAAGATGGGAATATATGTCCCCATAGAATCTTCTTTTCCCCCCATGGAGATTTTCTTTTTATCCATGTTTCCCAGGGACACACTGTAGCAGATTCTGTTATATGTATTATGGAATTCAAAGGAGGAGAAAATTACAAGAAGGTTGTGATTGACACAATTGGGAAGTTAAAAAATTTTGACCTGCTTAAGCTAATAAGTAGATTTAGATAGGAAATTAGTTTACAATCTTAAAACAAGTTGTTTCAGTGTTGTGGAATGTCAGATTTGGGGAGGAAAGTTGGACATAGATGTTGAAGAAAAAGACCAGGATAAATTACCCATTCAGGGAGTTTAGTTTTGGATAAAAGGGTAGAAAGTACAGGTTGATTATTCCTTATCTGAAATGCTTGGGACCAGAAGTGTTTTGGATTTGGATTTTTTTTTTTTTAAATTTTGGAATATTTGCATATGCTTTAAATGGGTTGAATATCCTAATCTGAAAATCCAAAATGCCCCAACATTTCCCTTGAATGTCACATTAGCGCTCAAAAAGTTTCAGATTTTGTGACATTTTGGATTTTGGATTTTCAGATTTGGGTTGTTCAACCTTTAGTTAGAAAAGGCTGCTGGTTCATTCCAATATGCTTTGTTTTTTGAGATCAAGGGAGCTTGGTTTTTCTGCTTGTTATTTTTATAAATTAATCTAGGGTTGTTTATTGACATAAATTTTAATTTTAATCATAATAAGGAGGTGAGCTAGGGAACCCTATTTTTCATAGTAGTGTAATTTGGTAGGTTTAGTGCCTCATGGAAATGGGAGAAATTAGGATCCTTAGGAAATCCTATTAGTTCCATGCTTCTGCTTTACCACCTGCCCTTCCCATCCTTTCTGCTTGCTTTTCTTTTCACTTATCTTTTCTTTTTGTGAGCCCAGTAGGAATGAGAAGTGAGATGTAAATATTAAAAGTTGGTGCTAATTGCTTGCTGTTATTCCTTTAGGAAGCAAGCAATCTGTTTTAATGTGTGAATTTCTAGGTCTTTTCTAAACTTCTTTTAAAAAGTTCACCTAGGCTTCACACTTGTCACTAGCAGTTGGATTAGTGCTTAAATGAAAGCTTGTGCCAAAGTGAGCCATAGTTGAAGTAATTTTATGACAGTTTTGACTCTCCCTTATAAGTTTTGATCCACAAAAGAATTAATTTCTGTTTCAAGTGTGTGGTTGAACTTTTGGATTTTTTTTTGCATTTCTGTAGTATGAATTAATTTTTTTCAGGATTAGCTCTCATGGGAAAAACCAAGAGCGGTTGGGCATTTTTAGTTTATTTATCAATCATGACATTTGAGTGCTGAATGACAATGAAATTATGCCAAGGATTACTTTGCAAAGCCCTGTGCTTTATTTCCATTGTTGTCTTTGGAAGGGATTACATTCACATTATTTGAGGAATAATTAATTGAAGCTCCAATTCAGACCAGTTGGAAGACTAACAAATATTCTTTTGTTTTGGTTACAGAAACTGCATACATACATGTAAGAGAAGGAAAAATGTCAGATGATATCAGGAAAAGGTTTGAATTTCCAAATTCTCTTATCCAATCACAGGTAATTTTGTTTGTTTATTTTTGCTCATGGCAACAAATCCACCTGTTCTATGGATTGTTAACTTTATGTATTTAACATTAAATTTTTATTCTACATGTAGAGATTTATATTATTTTATGAAACTTTAATGAGATAATTTGAAAATATATATTTCACTAAGAAAGCAACTTTTTGAAATTGATCAACCTCAGCTTTTATTTATATATCATACTTTTCTTCCTAGCAATAATAAAACCTTGATTAACTAGTAGGCCTCAGAATATGTTTGTTTCTTTTTTATTTTTTTGGCCTATGATTATTGGGAAAAGAGGTAAATAGTTATATGTCCTCAGACTGTGAGGGATTAATATTTAATAAGATATATCCTACACATTATATAGATTTTTGTAATAATGACATTTAATAAGTAAAATATCCTGGATTAAAAAATTTGATGTATCTACTAAAGAGATTGTGGTAACTTTAGTGAGTTTTTCCATAATTAAATAGTTAAAACAAAGATGGTTTTCTGGTTAGCCTTTAGCTAACTAGACGCATTCTGGTTAAGCAAGGTATCATAATAGCTTACTGTCTTTTCTTGTGAGAGTAAAGCTAACAGACCAGCAGACACCATCTTGAAGACTTAACAACGTACGGCGCCTTGGATACTTTCAACAGTTAACTTCGGAGATGCCTGCTGTGGGAATTGACTTAGCTGGGTAGTGGGGAACCCTTCCATGAGGAGTAGAACACTCCTTATGCAAGATTCCCTTCTACCTGGCTGGGTTGGAGTCATATCCTACAGGACCGTGAAGAAGAAGATGAACGCTTGGAGGATACTGTTTACAGTTTTATATTTCTGTGCCTGGGATCTCTTTGTTAGCATAGATAATCAAGAAATACCCATCTGTGTTACTGTTAAATTAGGTGAAAAGTATATATGTATTGTTTAGTGTAGGATGTCTATTTGAATTCTGTTTTAGAACACTTAAGTAGCAATGTAGGCTGATTATCCTCAGATTTTGTATTTTAAAAAATCAGTTTAGGCTAGTATCTCTGATTTGTTAGAAGAGGAAATGAAAAGTGTATTAGAGAAATTGAACCTGATGGAGAATGGGGAATTAGGCTTCTTTTCTTTTAGTTCTTTTTCTAATTATGGACTATAGCTTTTTCTTTGTCCCTGTTGTTTCATATTGGTTTTATTAGGTTCTTGTGTTTGTGTCCTGTACTTTGCAAATATTTCTTATTGTTCTTCTGTAACAACTGCTCAGTGTTAGCACCATATTTCATTGATTGATGCACATTTTTTTTAATATTTTAACATCTTTGAAATTGGATTGCATCTAGTAATGATGGCAGTAGTTAAGATACAGTTGGTATTGCCTGCACATTTGTGAACTTGGGCATGGTTTTCTACACAAGCCTAAAAGAGCTCTTGTGTGAATATAAAATCAAAATTCTAACTTAAAAGAAGCATTGTATATCACAGACTAATTGGCAGCCTTTCTTCTTTCTTAGTGGCACACAATATAATGGTGCAACTTGCAGTTCATGATCAGTTTACATTCAATGAAGTATAGCATATTTTGTAAAACAGGAGCTCAACTTATCCATGGGCACTCAGTTCTTGTTACTATTCCTTTTACTAGGAGATAAGAGACAGTAAGTTGGACTAAACTTAATATTCGTATAAATGAATAACTTGTATTGCAAAACTGAGACCACAAGTGCTGCGGTCTTAAATCAGCTCCAATGTGTGAAATTCAAAGAGAAAAATGAGGAAGGAGTGGGTGCTGTGTTTTTATTTGAGCTTTTCTGGAGACTTTGGAAGACTGACAACTATTCACGGCTATACCATAATTTGGTTCCAAGTGCAGGATGGACAGTTGTTGCGGTAGTGAAGTTTTCCCAACCATACACAGAATGGCTATGATCGCTGCTAGCCTACTGACTGTAAGACAGTAGTACTGGGTAGTGCTGAAGAACTAGGGGACTAAAGTTGAAGAAGTAGGAGGTAATGATATTTATGTCTTTATGTAACCAGCACTCCTATAAAAGTCTTGAATTTAATTTTGGGTTTTTTTTGAAGCAGGATAGGGGAAAATTTTAGAGATTTATGAGAATGAAAGCTTACATTTAAATTGAATTTAAGGGCTGAAACCTATGAAAAAATGATAAAGAAATCAAAATTATATGACCTAGAGGAAAGAGAAGGGTGGTGGTGGAGGGAAGCCCTCCCTTTTGATTCACATCTGTGCGGGCTATAGTAATAAACATGAGTTTCTTCATCTTCATTAATGGTGTGGTGAAGCATGATGGATTTCATTTCAATGCAAAGATGATTTTAAGAAGCTATGGGGTTTCTCATTCATGGTTTAATGGAGTTACCTTCTGATACTGACAGCAATTTGAACCAAAAATCTGGCAGTTTTCTTAACTTCCAGGAACTATAGTTGCTTATTGGTAACCTGGGATAGCCATGTCTACCTTGAGGGCTATTCCAAAGATTAGAAATTATGTATGTGGAGTGCTTGATTCAATGCCTTCTACATAGCACATACTTAATAAATGAAAATTTTATTTATTCCCAATTGACTGCCTGGCATACTCATATCAACTAGTATTGATATTTGGAAAGAACTTCTAAGGTTCTGTGTTCATTAATTTGTTTTTTAGGCTGTGGGTCATCTTCTTGCTGCAGTCCTAAAGGAAAATGGTTTTTCAGAAAAGATTCACCAATCTACAGATCAGGTCTGTGTTTAACTTTATGGTTTAATTCTCTTCAGATAAGATACCTACTAACTGGATCACATATGTACCTGTCTTGTTTCCCTGATAGTTCAGATCATAGTAGAACTGTTTTTGAATTGTGAGAACTTCATTGCCCTTTTTGTTTGTTTGCCTTGTTTTTAATGTGTAGCATTTAAAAAGTTTTAAATTTATGAAAACACACTCTACGAGTGAGATATGGAGGGCTGGAGAGGACTATTCTTATGACTATTAATGAAGAATAATATGGGTGGAATGAGAGAAGTCATGCTTTAGAGAAGATTGATAGTTACCTCTGAGGGAATCATTTTCGTTAATGAAGAGAATGAGCAGAGTGGCCCTGTTTGGATGTAGATTTCTCATGCTTCAGCTCAGCCCCAGTTGTGAGTTCTTAGTTGGAAAGGTCATACATTGACAGTCAAAGCTGAAAAATTCCATCCTAACACAAATAGCAGGTGAGTGCTCAGAGTTGAAGCAATGCCAGCTTACTGAGATATATACCACTTGGGACTTGGTTGATCAATGTTGTGTAATTTGACTTGCTAGTTGGGAAACTCTTCTTAGGAGAGGTGTTCTCAGGCGTTCTCTATAGGGAACATAAGTGATGGAAATAAGATTCTTTTTTTTTTTCACAGCAGAAATAAATTCATTTTCTTTTTCTCACCTTCTTTTTGATTAGCTGCTCCAAGTCACATTTCTTTATCACTTCTGCAGACATATTGAAGTAAATGTAGAACAAACTTCACTAACTGACATTTGTCTGATATTTGTACATAGTCATATAAATTAGGTTTTCTGAGAACTCTGATCCTAATCCTGTCTATAATCACATCGTGTACTTTGAAAAGATCTAGTGGTTTTACTTAAACTGCCAGGATTTATTGAATGTCAAATCCCTGTAACTGTTTCCTCTTCTACTAAAAATGAAAAGCATTCACAGTATTACCTGAAGCAGCAGTTTATTTATTCATTTGTTTTGTTTTTCCGGTGTAGTAATAGAGTAATGACATTTAGAGCCTTTTGATATTGTCAATACAGCTGAATACAATGTCATTCTGAATAAAAGGTGAAGTGGAATATAAATATTTCCTTCCTGTAGTGACTATTAACTGTATTGTTATTTTAATAGTGGGATGCTAAGATTGAAAAGATTCTCTGCCAGCTACAGAGGGAAAGTGGGTATGAAATGATGTTGATTTTCTTTTCTTTCTTTTCTTT